TAAATCATGTATCGAAAGATCTTGAATAAATGAGTCATGTATAGAAAAGTCTTGAATAAAAGACTTGAAATAGAAAAGTCTTGTATTATAGAAATGTTTTAAATAGAAAGGTCTTGAATAGAAAGGTCTTGAATAGAAATGTATTGAATAGAAAGGTCTTGAAAAGAAAGGTCTTGTATAGGAAGGTCTTGTATAGAAAGGTTTTGAATAGAAAGGTTTTGAATAGAAAAGTCTTGTATAGAAAGGTATTGAATAGAAAGGTCTTGAAAAGAAAGGTCTTGAATAGGAAGGTCTTGTATAGAAAGGTTTTGAATAGAATGGTTTTGAATAGAAAAGTCTTGTATAGAAAGGTATTGAATAGAAAGGTCGTGTATAGCAAACTCTAAAGCTGAGACTGTACCTTTTTCTTGGCTGGATCGTTCATGTACTCGGACAACGACGAGTTGGGCATAGAGAAGTTGAGTCTGTCAATATCGAATTTATCCGGCACCACTTGCCCGCCTGCGTCACTGCCACAGTTCGGACTTCCGAATGTACCGGCCTCGACCCTAACATAAATGGGTCAACATTGTCAATGTCACAGATAGGAAAATTACAAGATTTTTGTTGCTGTTGATCTAGACGTCTGTCTGCACACGGTATTTAACCTAGACATTTGTCTTAACAAACTTATTTTTCGGATTTGTTATTAAAATTTAATATACTCAAAAGACCGCTCCAAAACATGTTTTGATTTCATATTGTCTATAAAAAAATTAGTTGTAGCACTATTTTCATTGACGTAATTAATCACGTCAGGAGATTAAGATTATCATTTTAATTTGATTCAATTTTAAAAAAAACAACAACATACACTTATAAGAACTATATGCGTCAATGATAAATTATTAAATCGAGTTAATACTGTAACATATATATATATTCATACGTTAGAAAAGCGACGACGCAACCAATGAAAACGGGGAGACCACCTCTCACCTTTCCAGAACGTCCCTGGAGCTGTCACACTTGCAGAACTGGAGGAAATGTCCAGTGATGGAGAAGATGAAGTCAAGCTTCTGCTCGTTGTACTCGTGAGACAGGTCGGTCAGTTTCTCCGTCAAGAGTTTCTTGATGTGGATCTTCTCCATCTGTTTGTAGATGGCTTGTTTGGCTTCCCTCTCCTGGCTTTCTTGGAACTCCTAAACACATAGTCAATTCTAGACACTGTTCATAGTTTAAAAGTCAATAATAAAAATATATAGATTAATCTAACTATTTTGCGGTTGAATATTTGGAGAAACTTTTATATTTTTAACCCACAACTAAATGCTTATTTGTTTTATCATAGATAATTTGTTTCTCGCAAATCAGGTTGAGCAAGAGTTAAGGATGACCCGAAGACCTATTGAGAACCCACCCCGAAGCCTATTAGAGCACTTTACGCTCAGCAGGACTTAAACACAAGGAGTACTCGAAGACAGTGTGAGAACTCTCCTCCCCGCTCTATCACCAACATGCATGCCTACGAGTATTCAAATAAGGATGCCTACTGAGACAGTGCGAGAACCTTTCCAAACCCATGTAAGATGACCAGAGACAAATGCACAGGTATCGCTCCTTGAGACAGCTTGAAACCCCCCTCTCCTATGACATCCGTGTACGCCGAGCATGGTGACCTATCCACAAGGATGGCTCGTTGATACAGTATGAGCGGCACCCCCCTCCCCCCACCACTCTCTACACGTCTGAAGCTTGCCTGCATCTCTTGACGGGTCTTTGCCAGACATCATTGAAGTCCCAGAATTATAACCATCACTTGATCGGGATGTGTAAATATCCATACTGCTAATTACCCATCTGGCTAGGCGTACAGCGGCGGAATCATAGGTGAGGGGGTAGAGGTGCCCTGGACGTACTATGTGTCCAAGGGGGGGGGGGGGGGGTGTTTTTTGGGTGTCCCGCCTTCAATTTTTTTTTTTTTAATTTAATAGTATTATAATACAGCATTATGTGTTATAACAATGTAGAGTTTAGATATTGTTGGCAGTAACATCATTCAAGAATGCTTCTTAAAAAGAAGTTTGTTTGAAAAATCACATGGGAGTTTGCCTTAAGTTGATGCGTTAGTGCAATGATAGATACGCGTCCTCCTTAAAACAGGAGCACCTTTAGGGGAAACTCCTCTTCTGCTCATTATCCTAATGATCTCCCTTTTTTCTGATAAACCCTGAAACCCCCATGAACCTGAGACCTGAACACTGGGATGAAACCAAAAGTCATAGTTTTTCCACAGTCTTTGGCCTTCAAAGTTGAGGTCGTAGAACTAAACGGATGAGAGATTAGTCACACACTAGGATTAAATCTAAACTCAGGCGAAGAGTACTTATATGAAAGTCATTTGCGTGTGTGTACATGGTATTCGTTCAGCGTGAACACGACCATCAGCTTATGTGTACACATTAAGCTTTTTTGTGTGTACACTTTAATCGGTCTGTGGGTGCACAATTATCTTTTCGAACGTACACAGTCATCATTTTGTGTGTACACTGCCATCAGTCTGAATTTATCAAGTGTTGTACATAACTGAATCAATGCGAACATGTTTTTAGAACAATCATTCTATACTTCATCATTTATCAGATTCAATTTCTTTTTAATTGACCAATATCACCTTTATTTTGGGATAAAAACACCATTTGTGAGATAATAATCACCGTCATTGTTAGATAATAATCACCTTTATTGTGAGATAATAATCACCTTTATTGTGAGATAATAATCACCATTATTGTGAGATAATAATCACCGTTATTGTGAGATAATAATCACCTTTATTGTGAGATAATAATCACCTTTATTGTGAGATAATAATCACCTTTATTGTGAGATAATAATCACCATTATTGGGAGATAATAATCACCGTTATTGTGAGATAATAATCACCTTTATTGTGAGATAATAATCACCTTTATTGTGAGATAATAATCACCTTAATTGTAAGATAACCCGCACCGTTACTTTGAGACATTCCTTAATTTTATTTTAAGATAAACATCACCGTTATTTTTAAATAATCATCAATTTCATATTGAGATAATTCTCACCTTCATTTTGAAATAATCATCATCTTAATTTTGAGATAATCATCATCATCTTAATGGTGGAGTTTGAATATAATCCTGACCTTTATTTTGGAGATAATCCTCACCTTCCTTTTCAGGTAGTCCTTGAACTTCTGAACGTTCCTGGCCATGAACTGCTGGTCCTCCTCCTGGGCAGCGTACTCCTCCTGGGCAGCGTCGTGTCTGTCCTGAGTTTGAAGCCATTCCCGGAACTGGCCAAACAAGGCTTTCTTCTGTGGGCGCATTGATGTGTGGATGTATGTGGATGCGCAGATGGGGCATGGGAGAATGGAGGAATCAAAGTGTGGAGGCTTGGAGGGGGTTAGGAGGGAATTGCTTAGGGGAATTGGATGGAGGTTAGGAGGGAAGTGCTTAAGGGTGATTTGGAGGGAGGTTTTTAGGTAGGTTTGGAAGGAGGTGAGGAAGATGACGTTATGGATTTAAGAAATAAGGATATTTTGAAATGAAGTTGTGGATTTAAGAAATAAGGATGTGTGGAAATGAAGTTGTGAATTTAAGAAATAAGGATGTGTGAAAATGAAGTTGTGGATATAAGAAATTGGATGTGTGGAAATAAAGTTGTGGATTTAAGAAAAAAGGATATTTGGAAATGAAGTTGTGGATTTAAGAAATAAGGATATTTGGAAATGAAGTTGTGGATTTAAGAAATAAGGATGTGTGAAAATGAAGTTGTGGATATAAGAAATTGGATGTGTGGAAATGAATTTGTGGATTTAAGAAATAAGGATGTGTGGAAATAAAGTTCTGGATTTAAGAAATAAGGATATTTCGAAATAAAGTTATGGATTTAAGAAATAAGGATGTTTCGAAAGAAAGTTGGGATTTTAAAAAATGAGGATGTTTCGAAATGAAGTTTGGGACTAAAGAAAAGAGGAGGTTTGGAAATGAAGTTCGGGACTTAAGAAAAGAGGAGGTTTGAAAATGAAGTTCCAGACTTAAGAAAAGAGGAGGTTTGGAAATGAAGTTCGGGAACCTAAGAAAAGAGGAGATTTGGAAATGAAGTTCAGGACTTAAGAAAAGAGGATGTTTGGAAATGAAGATGTTTGGAAATGAAGTTGTGAACACATTTGAAGGGAGGACGGAATTAACTTTAAATATTTATTTTTTTAAAGAGTCAATGACGTCAAGCAAAGTTCATCGAATGTTCTTATTGAGACGTTGTTACCTGAGTGTTCGCAGTTTCTTGACAAGGTCTACACACATCCGCGCTGACCACAATGAATGCAATCTATCGTCATGAGTCACCATATTTTAAATGACGCATTTGGAGACACATCGCTTTGAGTATCAACTAGTGCCTATGATAAGCTTTGGGATGATCCTAGGTCAAGCATATTACTCAATGTATTCTTCATGCCATAAACTAAAGTTCAGTGGAAAGAAATTTTTTTTTAATGTCGTCCGAATTATTGGGCCTGGTTTTCTTTGGGCCTCTAATGCACTCTCTAATGGAAGCCCCAATAAATACGTGACCTGAAGCTCGGACCTCACCATCTTAGTTAGTCACGCAATTCTTCCTTCACTTAACATGTGTCTTTCCTTTCAGTTTTGAAATTACTGTATTCGCGGTTGGACTTGAAAAGCATACTTATGTTCTAGGACAGTTTCATCAATGTCATTAATAGACAGGGCAACTTAACATGGGTTATGTGAAATGTCCATCAGTCACAATAATACCAAGATTGACGACAACAACACTCTTCACGGCTATATAATCCCGAAACAATTTTTGTTTTGTAAGTTTAACAGTTATGAAAATTTGAAATAAAAACTTACTTGTTCAAAACCTAAACCTTCATCTTGATCATTCTTGGGCTTGTTCTCTCTGTCGTTAGACTTGTCATCTCCCCAACCTTTGGTTTTTTCATCTCCCCAACCTTTAGATTTGTCATCTCCCCAACCATTAGATTTGTCATCTCCCCAACCTTTGGATTTGTCATCTCCCCAGCCTTTGGATTTGTCATCTCCCCAACCTTTAGATTTGTCATCTCCCCAACCTTTAGATTTCTCATCTCCCCAACCTTTAGATTTCTCATCTCCCCAACTTTTGGATTTGTCATCTCCCCAACCTTTAGATTTGTTATCTTCCCAACCTTTGGATTTGTCATCTCCCCAATCTTTAGATTTCTCATCTCCCCAACCTTTAGATTTGTCATCTCCCCAACCTTTAGATTTGTCATCTCCCCAACCTTTGGATTTGTCATCTCCCCAACCTTTAGATTTGTCATTCCCCAAACCTTTAGATTTGTCATCCCCCCAACCTTTAGATTTGTTATCTCCCCAACCTTTAGATTTGTCATCTCCCCAAACTTTAGATGTGTCATCTCCCCAACCTTTAGATTTTTCATCTCCCCAAACTTTAGATGTGTCATCTCCCCAAACTTTAGATGTGTCATCTCCCCAAACTTTAGATTTTTCATCTCCCCAACCTTTAGATTTCTCTTTCTCCCAAAGCTCTATTCCCTGTCTACCCCATGCCTTGCTCTTAACACCCTTAGTGTCATCTCGTGTGTCCACTCCCAGACCTTTCTCCCTGAGTTTGTCCTCCACCTCCGTCCACAACTTGGCAAAGTCCCCAGCAAGGACCATGGGGACAAGCAAGAAGACAAGCAAAAGCCTCATCTTGACCTTGTCAAAAAATAACATTAACAATCGTAAAGATAACTGAACTAGAGGCATGTGTAATGAGCCAGAGTCAGGTATCGAAGTATGCAGTTGGACTCTGAATCCCGCTGCGTATCATTGTAAAGGGTCAGAGAGTATATTACAACACATTATTGACTCACGGCGTTTATTTCTTTAAAATATGTTGACTGTCATGTGGAGTCAGTATTTAATTTATAGCAGCCTTATTTCAAATCATATTTTTATGACGCTAAAATGTACTGTCATGTCATGTCATGTTCCTTTTCTGATTGATATTTTAATGTGCAGGCTTTGTTTGGATAAGAAGCCAATCATACGGAAGGAGACAGTCTGTCTTATACTAGATCTTATACTAGGTCTTATACTAGCTCTTATACTAGGACTTACACTAGGTCTTATACTAGATATTATAATTGGTCTTATGCTAGCTCTTATACTAGGTCTTATACTAGGTCTTATGGAGGAACTCTAAGTCTAGAGTGGACCTAGATTATTCCAGCTTTCACAAAGGCCAGTAATGACGTCACATAGACCGGCACTGAGTTTGCTATTTAAGTCGTATTGCCTGAACAACTCAAAATGTAAGCGGTGCCGTAATATACTTTAGGTTAAAACTTGTGTGGGCTGTAATAGGACAGGCTAAAAGATATTAAGAAAATAATAATAAAGAAACATATTTCGTTTCTTCGTGGGCCGCAAAGAGGGTGATGGCGGGCCGTATATTATGCAGGCCTGTCCTAGTTGACGGCTTTCCTTTTTCTACTTCGCTCCTTTGTTCGACCATATATTTCAATTTAAATGGGTCAGAATAAAATACATAATATAGGCCTACTGTATAGAATCGGGCCAATATCTTCATAATGAGTAGAATTTTGATGGTAAGTTTAAATTATGTTTGCTTTTTTTCGGGGAAAAATTCCACCCACCCCTAAATGAAGAGGGAAAAAGAACTTGGAAAAAGGTGGACTGCCCCCTTCCTACGCCCCTGTTGGGGAGAGATGTTTGGCACATTGGTGTCATGATATATTTTTTTTCTGATTAAACTAAGACTAACTCTACAAAATATGATTACTCTTGAAATTATTTTCTTAATTCAATCACATGACATTACGCACGACCATGGTCTAAATCTACCTTTCAGTTATAAATCTACATGTCAGTTATAAAGCTACATGTCAGTTATAAATCTACATGTCAGTTAGAAATCTACATTTGAGTTATAAATCTACGTTTTAGCTATAAATCTATATTTCAGTTATAAATCTACGACTTGTCAGTTATAAAGCTATACATGTCAGTTAGAAATGTACATGTCAGTTAGAAATCTATATTTTAGTTATAAATCTACATTTGAGTTATAAATCTACGTTTTAGCTATATATCTATATTTCTGTCATAAAGCTACATTTCAGTTTTAAATCTACATTTCAGTTTTAAATCTACATTTCAGTTTTAAATCTACATTTCAGTTTTAAATCTACATTTCAGTTTTAAATCTACATTTCAGTTTTAAATCTACATTTCAGACCTACCTTTAAATAAAACTTTCAAGAGAAACTAGCAGACGTGTGAGAAGAACAAAAAAAGGATGATCACCCGTTGTTGCGCTCACTGCCAGGTCTTCTGTCTTATTTTAAACTTAACGTCGGCGAGCCATTCCCTCCACAACTCTTTTAACCACCCCACCCCCTCCCCCACACAATCACTTCCCCACCCCCTCCACCCCCC